GGACCTGCGCTGGACCCTGAAGATTTAACACTGTCTATAGGTGATCATACTGAGCTGTTGAATCAGGACAGGAGAAGTTAATTGCAAAATATTTACACTTCTACGTTTATTTAGTTTAGCTATTGATGATTAGTTTCATCTATAAGCTGGAAAATATATTTTTTTTTTTTTAATTACTGTGCTACAGGCTTAGCCTAAAGCCTGAAATCCAAGCCAGGTTGTGTGAAATTCCAGGATTAATCCAGTTTGGCTAGGTGGGCTGTTTGCACAGAAGTGCACTGGAGCACTACTTAGGGCTTGTGGGAGATGCTTCTTCCTGTCAGGTTCACTCTTTCCCACACGAGGTGTGGCTTTAAAGTTAAATTTTTTAAACTTTGTGAATCCCAGCAGTCTCCCCAGATAAACCTGGAGTGTGCAGTGCACAAAGTAATGCCTGCTTTCTTGTGCAGCAAGAAAGAATGTCTGGGATAAGATAAAGGACTTCAGGTGCCTGCAGAGAGCATCTGTAATCCGAATTCTATTCTGACGTTATTCACTGAGTACCTTTATTAGTACAAATTCTGAAATCTTAATATAGTTGAAAATACGTCCAGAGGATATGAGCATAAACTCTTCTCAGAGCTCACTCCTTTTCCAGGTTGTAACACCTCTCAATAATTATGAGTTAGACGTGCTGATGACACTTATATCTGCATGAAGACTGCAAATTCAGTTTCTGATCTGGAAAGATGATTGACTACAACTGTTAGTGGGAAGACAGTTGTGGTGGTGTGTATCTAGTTCTTCTGAGGTGTCTAATTGGTATTTTTTTATTTGGTGTCATTTGTAAGTAACATTAAAACATCATTCCATAGGTGTGTTCTAGTTTAGTGCTGTCATTTATAGGTGCTTCCAAGGTCTTGATTCAGTTGCAGAGGTGACTGCTGACTCTTGGAAGTTGTGCATAAACCTCACTATTGGGGGTTCTGTCCAAGTGCTGGCTCTCTGTAAAACTCATGTTTAGGAAGCTCAAGATACTGAAAGATAAAATATACGTAGCAAAGAAAATATGGATCTCAGACTGACAGCAAGGGACAAGAACAGACCCCCAAAGGGCAACATCAATAGATGGAAAAAGTGATTTTTGCTGCTCCCTTCAATTCTAAATTCAGGATCTCAACCATTGTGTGGCACAGGCAATAAATTAAGTAGAGAGATGTCTACAATGATAACAGTTAAGCCTTTCTAAATAGAAGCCCAACAATCAGTTGTTGCTTTACTTAAAGTTATCTACAACAAATAAATCTTTTTTTCTCCTTGCAGAAAACTGATTAGGCACAAATCAGAGAGCCAATTGCTTTGTGACTGAAGTCCATTCTGTAACAGAATAGCTAAAGGCATCTTATATGTTCACAAATTGCTTTGTGATTTGAGGCTTTTGATCCGAAATATCGTGTCAGATTGTTATCACTAATGAAATCCTTATTGTATTTCTTTGCTTTTGTGTAGCTATTTACCTGTGAAGAGTCCAACTTTGTGAAATCATTATACAAAGGCTTGTGCAGATTTTACTTACATCAAATCTAAACTGAAGTTTTTAAATCTGGAGAGGATTGTTGTTCCCTCCTCCCCTCAATTATACTGTCACAGGGTTCTGAATTGCAGAAACAACACAGAAAATAACAGTTACAATAAGGAGAAGAAATGGAGCCAAGGCCAAGTTTTTTAATTTCCAAAGCTGTATCACATACTTTTGCTGCCATAAATCACTTGTGTGAATGTTGCATTGATCTCTCTATTACCTGTGTTGGTATTTCCATGCTGTGTGTTTGTGTCTTCAAAGTATGGACCAGGTAGAAATCCTAGAACAGAACAAATTAATATGAGCTCTGGAAGTAACCAAAGAGGCTTGGATAGAGTGGTTATTCCTCTGGGAATATCTATGTACATCTGGGCCACGTATTTTAGCATCCTGTCAGAATCCTGTGGGAACATGGCTTTTCTTGGAGTTTGTTTTCTCATGTCACTCTAGATATAAATTCCCTTATCTCTATTAATTTCCATTTATAATCCAAATAAATGTAGCCTTAGAACATTCGGTATTTCACAGCACCGAGCAGAAACATCTGATTTCCACTCCCACCCCTGTACTTTCTGCATAGAGTTGTAAAGTGTTCCTTGGGCGTGTGGAGACAAACCTGAATAAAGCAGAACTTGAACTGCTTTGTTAAGGCACAGCATTTTCTTCGTGGGGCCTGAAAGGAATGACCAGGAAACTCGTGGTGAGTGGGCTGGGGGCAACACTCCTCAAGCCTTCTGCAGAACTGATGCTCCATTATCAGGAGCAGACAAGGCAGAAGGAATCTGCTTGGACATAACTGGAATACTTGGCGTGTGATACTGCAGGTCCTTCTATAGAATATGTACTAATGTTTTAGGCAGTGTACTAATGTTTTAGGAGTAGTTATTGTTTTTACTAGTAACAACCTTCTGATATTGGTAGTTATTGGTCTCCTTTCTTACAGTTCCAAGGTTGCTGTCATCCCATCCCTGAGCTGAGCTCTGATTGCGGGTCACGTGCAGGTCTCCCAACATGCTGGAAAAGCAGGCACGAATTCATGATGAGGAGCATGACATACATCAGTTAGTGAGTGAACTGAGACATAGCCTGTAATGCAGAGAATTTTTTTCATTGCTATAGAGAAGACTCCACCAGAATAATAATAATAAAAAAAAACAACAGGGTTATCAAACCATTCAAAATTTGTGAAGTTTTCTGTTGCAAATAAGGTGCTGAGTTTCATTAAAGTGTTCACAAAGATTAGCAGCTAACAATTACTTCCATGAACACTTCAGTTGGTGGGAGATTGAATGGGACTCAGTGCAAGAATACAGCAGTGGATAAAACACTTGACAACAGGAATTAAACTTTTCAAACACTGAACAAATCATCACTGATTAAACAGCTTTTTCATCTGCCTATAGACTGTCCTTTGCAGCAGGACCCTTCATTTGGTATCATTAGTCTATTTGAAGAAGACTGGTCTCTCCCCTGTATAGGATCATCAGTCAAATATTTACTGTCCCTAAGCTTGCCTCCATTTTTAGAATTACTCACAGGAATGAAATGAGAATTCAGTTTTAGCTTTGATGTTTAAGTGTCTCCTGTTGAGCCTGCTAAGCCTGGCTGGAATACAGAAAAACAGTGTCTGTTTTGATCCCTGCTGAAAACTAAAGGAAGAAGGGGGGGAGAAAAATAAAACAACAAAAAACCCCTCAAAGCTGAGTTTGGTTTGTGCAAAGCCAGGTTGGAAAAAATTGATCTATTCCATCCTCAATTAATGAATACCAGCTGCATTAAAAACAAAGACAAGCCACAAAAGCCCCACCCAAAATCGAGCCCAGCACTGGTAATGATATCTCTGGGAAGAATGCTTTAAAAACAAAATCAGAATTCTGCAGTTTTATCAACTCTGGCAGTTTTTTCATTTCATAATATAGGTTTGACTGGTGCTATATATGTTGGTATGAAGAAGAAATGGAAGAGCCTCATCCTGCACCTGTTAGGTGCAAGAGTTTATGTGACAGAGAGCTGACAGAGAATGTAGGGTGAGGCCCCAGTGCCCACGACTGTGACATCCAGAACTTACAAGCAAAATTCTAAAAACTTAAATCACGGGAGGAGCTTCAATGATAAACACTCTGAGGCTACATGTACAAGCAGGGTATGATCCAGCTATAGGTTCCAAAGTCAGCTCAAGTTAATATGAAATCTATCCATGAGAATCTTTCCGTTGTCTTGCATTAAGCACTGGTAAACAGATTTCCTAGCAGTGTGAAAACTCCGTGGGGATGTAGGGGAAGAGGGAGAGAATTCACATGGAAGAGCAGGCTGTCTCTGGGACAGTATTCTCCAGCATGCCTAAGTGGAATCCCAGATTTGTGTTCCAAAGTGCATCTCCTAGAGCTGCAGAGCAAAGCCTTGGTGATCATACCTGCAACTTACTGGATCCTGCAACCGTGGATCCAAGGGAAGATTTGAACCTGGAACCTGCCTTGGGTCCTGCCATTTGCCAAGGAGAAGCTGCAGAGATGAAGAACAGAAGAGGTATTTAGTTTGAGTTGAGAAATCTGGGCTGAAAATGAGAGAACTACTACAAAAATAAAAGGGCGTGTGGGGTTTAACAGGTAAAAAACCTCTTTCTTTGAGACGTTTTATTTAACCTGAAACAAAACCATTTGTATGCATAGGAGGAAGCATCCTCCTATTCTTGCTTCTCTTTTAGACTTATTTTGCTTGAATTTTAAGCCAAACCCTGGTTAGAAGTGCCCACACGGGCTGCTCTTCTGCATCTTCCTCCTAGTGTAACTGGAAAGCGCCCACATTGTTTCCACACTTTCCAAATGTTCCCCTTAGGTTTCTTTTTTATCCCGTCTGTCCCACAACCTCCTCCCCCCCAGCCCTTTCCAGCTGAAATTGGTGTCATCTGTTGTGGCGGGTTCCTTTTTTTAACCTGCCAGGCCTGCGCTAGACCCCCCTCGCACCCCCGGCTGCGGCGGGGGCCGGGCCGGGCGGGCTCTGCGGTGCCGCAGGTGCGGGGCGGGCGCTCCCGCACCGCCACACCGCACACCCCCCGCCGCATGCGGGACATCCCCGGCTCGGGGCAGAGAGGAACAGCGCTGGGAACCGCCTTCGGGACTGAGAACCACCCGCAGGGCTGGGAACTGCCGGGAACTGCCTGGCTGGTCCCCGCGGGGCGGGCGAGCGGAGGCTGGGGATGCTCGGCTGGTGATGCTGGTGGCGGAGGAGGAGGAAGAGGAGGAGGGGGGAGCTGGCGGGACAGCCTGAGGTGGGCGGAGGGGGGAGGCGGGTGTTATACCATCGCTCCGGGGAAGGGCTGAGCATTTGCAAATCCGGGCTGCAGCGAGCGTGGGGAGCATCCTACCCCCGCCGGGCCGGGCAGGGCGAGCTTCCCTCGGTGCCCTAACGCCGTCCGCCTTATCCCCGCCTTCCCCTGCCCGCCTGTGCCGCCCCGTGTCTCCCGTGCGGCAGAGCGGAGAGCAGTAGCTCGGGGCGATCCGCCCGGAGCGCAGCGCTTGAGCCACCGCCGGCCCCTGTCCCCGCCGCGCAGGCACGGGCAGAGCCCAGGGTGAGTAGTCCCGGAGCTTCCCTGCTCCTCCTGACAGGCCAGAACCGTCCAGGCCCCCTCCTCCACGTCCCCGTCTGCTTCTGCTCTCAGTTGGGTGCCTGCAAGGTGCAGATCATCTCTGGTAGGTTGGTCAAACCGGGATCCTTGCTTGGGGAGGGATTTTTGAAAGACTTCGCTATCTGCTACTAAGTTATCTGTCTCAACTTGGAAATCAACTCCTTCTCTTCTATATAAGCTTCTTTTTTCCCCCATCTTTTCCTGTTTTGCCTGCTTTACAACTTTCCAGCTTCCTTCACTTGCACCTGCCAATTTACATGGGTAATAAGAAGCCAATGACATGCTGAGAGACTTTAGTCATTGAAGATTAGTACTAGCAAGTGTCTTAAAACATCTGTGTGTTTTCCTTTTGTTCTCCCCAAGGCTGAAAAGACATGACAGCTGAAAAGACTATTCCTATAATTAATGGCAAGCCAGAAGATGCTTTGGACCCGGAAGCCTCAAGCACCAACCTTGTCCACAGCAACGATAAGAAAGTTCACGAAAGAGGTCACTGGAACAATAAAGTTGAATTTGTGCTTTCTGTGGCAGGGGAGATTATTGGATTGGGAAACGTATGGAGATTCCCATATCTTTGCTACAAGAATGGAGGAGGTAAGATGGCATCATATGTTGATTTACTGCTCGCCAAAAATGTGGGAAATAAACAGTTAAAGACGCTTTGCAGTGATTTATTACACTAGGAAGAGATACGAGCTCAAGATTTCGGCATATGTGCAGAGAGGGAAGTGTAAAACATCTGACAACTAAGAAAAAAATCATATTTCTCTTTCCTTTTCTAGAAACACTGTGTGGGTTACTTTTACGAGTTGCTTTTACGTTAGTAAATTGCTGTATTTTTTTTCGTGAGATATTTAATACAGAAGAAGCCAGTGTTCCCTCAGAGTAGTATGCTCTGTGTTTTCTTCTACGTGGGAATACAGACACAAGCATACTTCAATAAGTTTGTCTGACACAGGAAAGAATGTAACAGTTTATTTTTCAAGCAGAATACTTTGGAGAAGATGCATATTTTTTCTGATAACGCCACAAAGACGAAATTCTTCATCATGTAGAAATTTTTGTAACTCAATGTACTTGTTTTCTTCCTCAGTGCTTCCCCAATTCCTACAGTAAGGTAGGGGAAGATGTCAAAACTGATGGTTGCTCAAAGAAGAGAGCAAACCCTAATAAATTTAAAATATGAATGCTATTTGAGAGAGAAAAGAGCAGACTTAACTTGTACAGAAGTAAGACCACGTGGCATGTATTGGTCATAGTTAAGTATAAACTGTGTAAGATATATGATAGTTGAGAAGTTGAGAATAAGCACATCAGCTGTGACTTATGAAGCAACGAAGAAAGAAAAGTAAATTAAAAACTTGGTTTAGAATTCTGTGGACTGGGTTCCACATTCTCCCTGCTTAAGGCAGTGTGAGTGTAACCCCACGGGCTGGGAGAAAAATTGTCTGTTCAGTGGCTGAGATGCAAAGATCTGTCCCGTGAGGGGTTTCCTTGCTAATAACGCTGCACCAAATTTATTTTCCCTGTCCCTCCTTGTCCGAATTCAGGCATGGTTTTGACCCATTTTATCTGCTGCTTCTCTAAGACTAATAGTGCTGTGGAAGACGTGTTTGTTTGTAGTGCCTTTCTCTATATATCTGCACTTGGGCAAAACTAAGATAGGAAGAGTTCACCTCTTCCCAGAATGATGTTACCAAATACTGCTGCTAGTACATAAATATTACTATGCTGGATATGATATACAGGACAGTTTCTCATTGATTGTCAAGGTGTTCCCAGAGAACTTTTGGAAGAGGAAAAAATAGAAATGTATTTTTGGTGTGTGATTTTCTTGTCCATACAGCCACCTTTCCATACCCATTTGTAGGTATGTGCTACCTTGTCCAAATGTGATGATATCATTTTTTAAAGGCTCTAACATTAGGTAGGAAGAATTCTAATCATGGTTTTGGGTTATTTGATGAAAAAGTACGTACTCAAATATCATATTGAATCACCACTCTATTCTTTAAGAATAGAATTAGTGTGTGGGATCTAATTGGTCATGTCCTGGCACCTCGGGAAATTTGCCATTGACCAGTTTTATTCAATGAAGGCTTGGTCTGTGACCTGTGGCTTTGTAATTCTCTGGAGTGCCCTGGTGGAATTGGACCAGAGTTTGTTTTTGGTGTTTACATCTGATGCACCAAACTATTTAGTGTGTGGTAAGTGAAGACAATGGTAAAATACATCAGCTAGTCATGAAATAACTTACTAGATAGAGAACAAACCTAGAAGCTCTAGTATGGAACTTGGGAGGTCTGACCTCCCTCTGGCACTTCTCTGAGTCATAACAGGCTGTGTAAGCATAAGCTTCCATAGTTTTAGGTCGTTCTTGTAGATATTTATTTGGAGGTTTTAGGAAAATGAATTTCTTTGTATTAGAATTCGATATTTCTTGGATTATGTTCTTTTTACAAGCTGGGAAACCTGATTTTCATGATGTATACCTGTGGTAGAACAGTGTTGGAAAAACAGTCAAAGCAAATACTTTGGATTTCAACAAGTTGCCACGTTGAACTCACTGTGATCATGAGCTGGATGTGATACCAGCCAGTAGTTCACCTGGCCTATACAGGTCTTTTTCAAAACAATATGCACAGTGAATTCTGCAGAGAAGTCATGTTTTAGCTGTAAGGATTCCAATCTTTGTGAAATCCTCATGGATTACTTGAGAGGCAGATGAGATTCAGCTATAGGAAAATTTCCCAGCTGAGGGAAGAGACTACTGGTGAAGACATCTCTGGTGCTGTGCTGGCTCTGAAGAAACAAACTGCAAGTAAAAGCAACTGTTTTTAGTTGTCTTAACTTTCTAATCAAGGTGACTAAAGCACAGCAGTTGTTACTGGTTGTGTTTGAGTTTTGACGTGGTTCATAAGCTATACTGGAGTTTGCTGTGGGCATCTGGCAGAATTGTTGGCGCTTTGTTATTTTCCTAGAATTTCACGTTAATGTTTCTAGCTGATCAGGCAAAATCCTGCTTTCCTCTTCTTGTAAGTAGTTCTAAAGTCCGTTCCTTTTCTGTAATCTTTATCATCAGGATTATGTAAATAATATACAAAGGACTTCTTGGATTTAATTTCTTCATTCCTTCTTTCCTTGAAAAGCAAGGAAGAGAAGACAGTGTAGACTGACGTGGCGATGATCAGTGCAGAACTTTGTGGCTGAGCAAGACTCTGATCTTTTCAGTGTTTGAGCCACCCATGAGCAGACTTTAGTCTATGCTGAGGAACTTTGATCTGGCCTTTTTTAGTTCAAGACATTGGCTTACAGGTCAACTTTTGATATTTGGGGCCAGGAGTAAACACTTCCTGCACTGTCAACTTGATGCCTGAGAGAGAGCTAAATGATCCTTCCTTTACTAGGAGAATTCTCACTCTGTTGTCAAGGAACTACATTCGTTATAACCAATACCCACTCAATATTCCCTTGTAGGTGCTTTCCTCATCCCATATGTGGTTTTTTTCATTTGCTGTGGAATACCAGTATTTTTCCTGGAGACGGCCTTGGGACAGTTCACTAGTGAAGGAGGCATTACATGCTGGAGGAAAGTTTGCCCTCTGTTTGAAGGTAACACTTCTGTGTTCTACTGCAAAAGAGTGCATTGAACTTTAAGTAAAATAAAATAAATTGTACCAAAATTGAAGTTAAGATATATTTAAAATAGTAAGCATTTGTTTCTAAATTACCTGAAAAGCAGGAGTTTTCTCTCATGTCTCACTTATTTTTTTTTTTTCTCTAGGCATTGGCTATGCTACCCAAGTAATAGAGGCACACCTAAATGTGTATTACATCATTATTTTAGCATGGGCTATCTTCTATTTGTTTAACTGCTTTACTACAGAACTTCCCTGGGCTACCTGTGGGCATGAATGGAATACAGGTATGACCTCAGTGGAGATTATCCCTATACAAAAACCTTCCAAAAAATTGATTAATACATTAAAATGCCACGAACAAAACTATTCTTGTAGAAAAGTCACTGCAAATGGGCCAATCACATCCCATGATAAAGGAAACCTGGAGTGAACACTTACTCATACCTTTTTGGTTTAGGTCATTTTATGAGCATATGTTCCTGTAGAATATATTGCAGAAGAAGAAGATTTTGTATTTTTTTAATTCTGTAAGATATTCTGGCTAAATCCCAAGACTCTCATTTGCAATCATACCTATTCTCCCTAAATTCAGTGAGTGAATTCTGCTGCAGAGACAGGCCCGATGACAGGTTGCAATCTTGCTCTTTCACTCTAATGAAATCAGGAGGCATTTGAATGGAGAGAAAAATATTAGATGTGGATCTTTGGATTTGCTCTTTTAAATGCCAGATGTTGAGGGAAAATGTTCATCAAGCTCCTTCTGGAAATTTAGTTGCATACATAATTCTTACAGCATGCAAAGTAGCCTCCTGCATGAACGATGAGGTGTGTGTTTGTGAGGGTTTGCAATATAGGACTCTTCATTTGTCTCCTCTCATTGATATTTTTATGTGTAATTCTCTGCTTATTGCATTTGTAGATCACAAACACCTATGGGGAGGATTTCCCACCAATGCCCTTATTTCCATTATTCCTGAAGTTTGTGTATTTATTCCTTATATCACTCTCCTGTTTCAAACCACGTACCCATTGTACTGTCTTTTATGTTTTTCTGTTGAATGGTCATTATCACGGCCTTTGAGCACACCTAAAACTGCCTGAAATCTTATGTTAGGGAACTAGTCTTGGGCCCAGTGGATGTGGAAGGCTTTGGTATCAGTTCTGGCAGCCCAGCAGAGGAGCTTGGCCATTGTTGATGGCTCTTCAAACACGACACCTCAACTCAGCAATGCTGAGCTGCTTTGGCCTCCCTTCTTTGTGCTAGAGATGATAATAATGAAAAGCCAGAGGAATTATTCACTTGCCATATTAGGGCAAAGTGGAAGCTTGTTGCTGGCCGTGTTCCATAAGCCATTTGTTGCCATAAACCATTGAACTTGGAATATGCTGTAATTCCCAATCCATTGCCTCAGTTACTAAATACGTCTTTCTGCCTGAGGGGTTTTATTGGATCTATGCCTTTGGGAAGTGTTACAGGAGAGTGCTCATGGATATTTTTCTGGGATAGGCCTGTGGTCTGGTGATCAGAACACAGTGTTACACACACAGCAAATGTATTGTAGAATGGTGGCTTCACAAGATGCACGAACAAGAAAAAATGTACTTGCACGTCAATATAACAAACTCTTTTTTTTTTTTTTTATTCTTTCACAGAAAACTGTGTGGAATTTCAAAAACTTAATATGAGCAACTGCAGTCAAGTCTCTTTACAAAATGCCACTTCTCCAGTGATGGAATTCTGGGAGTAAGTGCACGTGAACTTAATGTTTGATCAGACTATTCGTTATCTTCCAATAACTTGATTGTTTACACTTGATTAGATACCTTGTAACCCTATTATGGCACTTAGTGATGTGAGTTCCTTTGCAAATTTTCTTATACAACTAAAGAGAGTCAGGATGAGGGGTTTTAACTCTTTTTTTAGAGGAGGGGTTTTTTTAACTCTTTTTTTTCTACAAGGAAAGGAATTCCATATCCTGAAAGAACACAGAACAAAGTGTGCCACTTGCTCGGGAGCTTGGCTCCTGTTGCTGGAGGAAAGAGCCTCAAACCCATACTAATGAGGAGGGAGAGGTGAAAAAAAGAGGAGGATTTCAAATATTTTTTTAATTTTTTTTTTCCAAATGTTTCTCAAGAGTTTGAGAGGTGCACCTTCATCCTTGTTTCAGCTATCTAATACTCTGTCTTCTGCATCTCATTACATTTTAAAGCACTGTGTAAGTGTTAGTTATTCAGCTGGAATAATGGGAGAGTTTAACTCTCTCGTGTCTCCTGGATTCTGATTCCTAGTTAGACTGTTAGAAGAAAAGTATATCTTTGCAAAGCATGGTCTGCTTTTGTGGTGGTGTATTTTTTTTCTCACTATAAATATTTAATCAATGCAGTTCAGTCGCATATTTGTTTCTTGCAGGGCACAGTGTGTGTTCAGACAGTCACAGAAATGCAATGTTACTTTTCATACTCAATGATCTCACAATTTAATGTGTGTTACACAATAACTAGAATTTCTTGAGGACCTATTAATTTTATTGTTAAGACAGAGCCTTAATCTAAGGCTGTATGTTTAGAGCTCTGTTTTATGTTCAGGACAGCAACAGCTACACTTTGAAAGAACCATGAATTAAGAGTGCCCTTGAAGGAGGAACTGTACATTGACACAATTACTTTGAATATGGGCATGTGTTGTTGTCTTTCTCTGAACCTCTTTGTCTTGCTACATCAGTTAATTTAGCCTTCATGGGCAGTAGGTGTTGCTTTAGTAAATAATACTGTTTTATTTAAAAATGAAATAAAAAAAACCCCCAAACTAAATTAAACCTGAACAATATGAAAGATGCATAAACTCTCTGGGTAAAATTGTAACTTCATCTTCTGTTAAAATTTTCAATAATCTGAATACACCTGAAGTATTAAATCAAAGTATATCAACTCTACTCACTTCCTAGATAATGTTTCAGAATAAATAAGAGTTTCTCAGGGGGCATCTTTTATTGCTATGACTTCATCATTGTACCAAAAATATCTTATGGTTCTTTAGGATAACTAGAATTAAGATTTCATATAATTAGAGTAAATGAGGAAAGTATTTTCTCCAGTACTAACATAATTTACCTGCTGTATTTTTTTGCTTATTCAAAAATATTCACAATTCAGCCACTCATGGTAACTCCAGTTATCCAGAGGAGTAAGCAACATTTAATTAAATTATATGGAGGGCACAGACTAAGTTTTATCTCCTCATGTTTCTAGGGGTTTGTGGGGTTTTGTCAGTGTTCATCTTTGGATTGCCTAAATTCCTATGTCAGTTTATTTTGATGCACATACAAATACATTTTAAGCATGTCACTTCTCAGAGTCCTCTAAAAATGAAGCCAAACATGATTCTACAGCTAAACTTGAATGCAAATTACAGTGGAGTTGAAATCCTTAAAATTTGGGGCATATATGCCTACCTGGGTTTGGATAAGTTAGGAATGGTTTATGAAACTAGAAGGGATAATCAGATTTAGTCTTTTCTCGAACTTGTTTTACAGTCTTGTGTATATATACTCCTACACTTTTAAAATAAAAAATAAAAAAAGAGAAGGTAAACAAAATAATTTGTCAATTTTTTGGAACTTCTTTCTTTATTGTGCTATGGACAAACTTTTCATAATACTAACAGCCTGTTGGCTAAAATAGCTTAAGATATTAAACTTACCTACTTTCTCCAAGCAAAACTGAAGTTACCCAGTTTTTCACCCTGAGAAAATAAATGTAGTCCTTTCCTGCTGAGAAAATTATTTGCCTTGTTAAAATTGAAGTAGGTGTGATGTTGCATGGCTTCAAAATTTAAAATAGATATGACACACTAGTTTGAGAATGAGCTTTAATAAGTATCAGGACTCACGTTGCATTAAAATAACCAGTATTAAGAGAAGATTGTAATTAATTATGTGTCTTAAATATCAGATATAAATGCATAGTGGAGGTTTTTATGTATAGATGTGCAATGAAGATCAGAGAGTAATTAATACAAAGTAAACTAGACTAGTTAATTTGTCCAGAAAATCATCTTCTAATCTGTAGATAAGTGTTACCAGTAATATTATTTCACTTAGCCAGAGGTCTTGTTCCTGTCGTGTTGCTTTACTACTTTGTAAATTCTGATGTTGAGAGCAGTAAATTTATTGAAAGACTTGTTGAAACAAATAGCAAGAGGAAAAGTTGCTCATGTGGACTGCACTGAGCATCTGCTCCTTGCTATTTTCAGAGCTCGTGTTGACAGTGTGTGAGAATCCTCAATCCCCAATCCCAGAACTGAGTTCATTTGCATAACGACCAGGTTCCTTGGTAGTAATTAAGGTGGTGCCCGTGAGGGGAAGAGGGAAGGCTCCGAGTTTCTTCTGAATAACCGTGGCATTTCAGAACCTTTACACTTTGCTCTCTGCCATGCCAAGGCTGCAATTGAGATTTCTCTAAGTTGTGGCCATATACAGCCAAATTATTGTGTGAGGGGTCAGCTGTGGCAAAAAAAAATTGTGGCTTTTTGGGGGTTTTTTGTGGTATTTCCTTGTGGTTTTTTGGTTTTGTTTTGATTTTTTTTTAATCTGTTACCATCCAATCTTGAGTTAATCTGTGGATTAGAGTGGTAATTATGGTGAATAGTGATCCTATTTACTTACTGAATTGGGAGCTCATTTACATGTAGGACTCAATACTGCATTTGTAAACTGTCAGGCTGATGTTACAGCTTCCCTTTGATAGCAGGTTACCACAGTCTTCTACAGTAGTTACAATATCTTCAGGGTTTTTTTTTAATTAAACCCAACCTAACAATAAAATGCTTGGGGGAGCCTCAGTAATTACCCAATGCATGTTTTAGCAGTGCTGTGTGTTGCTTTGAAGCCCAGTGCTCTCAGTCTGAGAGTTACCAATGCTGAGGGATGCACAGGTTGCTGTGTATCACACAGAATTTACATCATATAAGTGCAGGGGAACAAGATGGATTCGGTTTTGTCTGTGCAAAAATGAATATACCAAAGAATGTCTTCATTTCTGGCTTTGAAAAGGAGTCTTCTTTCTTTTAACTAGTGTTACTGTGTCTTTTTCATTGTCTAACTTATAAGACTCAGCCCCTATTTACTCGTGACTGGAAGCAAATCAAAGTCCTCAGCTGGGCTGGGGATTTGCAAAAAAAGCCTTCAGCCTTTCTGCTGAAATATTTGTAGGTTTTTTATGCTTCTGTAGCTTTGGTTGCTCCTTTATCTATTCCTCAAGTTGAGCATCATCTCACCCAAGTGCAGTGATGACTGAGAGGATGTTTTGCAGTACTATGAAGGTTTTCTGGCCTGCAGACCAAGAGTTCCCCTTGCTCAGGTCTGTACAGAGGATGCTGCCTCTGATACTTCAGCATTCTCCACCTGCTTTGATAGCTGGGTCACCCAGAGACTTAATTATTGTCCTAGAGGGATTGTTCTTTGTTTAAAAAAATAGCAAAAAACTCTGGAGATAAATACTGCAGCAGATTCTGAATACCTTTTGCTACGCTCAGAAGAATCTCATTGCACGTGCAGCAAGTTCAAAACTTCAAATATTTTTAGGAGCCTTTAATTGATAACTCCTCATCTGTAGGTCTCCAGTGGAAAGGGTCTGATCCTGCTGGAGGAGCAGCAGGCAAAGTTTGGGAGTTTGGAAACTTTTTTCTTGTTTTCCTACTTAAAAAAAGACTCTCACTGTTAATGCTTTAAATGTGAGCAGACTTGCCACTGACCACAGGTATCAGTGTTGACAACTGGGAAAAATTATGAGATTTAAGGATTTTTTACCATAGTTCAAAAGCCATAGCCTTGAGAAGTCCCACATTCCATCTGCATGTACAGCTTTTTAAGGTAAGCAGCTAAATTGATAAAAATCCACTTCTTATTCTTCAAACTCTCTGTTGCTGTGTTCCAAAGGACAGGCAAGAGTCTGAAACTTCACTTTTCACTTCTTACTGGTGCCGACATTCAGAGAATGGCCCGTTGACTCCCATTTATGGCCTTTCCCTCATCCACTGCTTAAGGATTTTCTAAGAAAAAGTAATAATCATAGTTTCAAGGCACGGCACATGGAATTTTTAGTGTCCAAATTTTAAACAGTTAACAGTAGCAGCTCCAGTGTTGATAATTCCTGATATGCTAAAGCAGCCCAATGAAAGAGAGCTGTGACATTAGGTGAGGATGTATTTATAGCCTGGGAAACAGAATAGAAAGGAGAGGATGCTCTGCTCCATTGTTTTTTCTGCTTTCCTAGGAGAAGAAATTGCCTGGTAGGTGTGGGGGGCATCAACCATGTCTGTGTGCTCTTTTGGCAGCTACTCCAGTCTGTCACCATGGTCAGGAATCTGAGGTTTCCAGTGCCTGGGAAAGGAGCTGGACAGAAAGAGGACCCTTGGTTGATTCCACCTCAATAGTTTTTTATTGGCTGTATAACAACAACTTGGTCCTCTGTTAAAGAAGGTCTAGTTGTTGGCCTGTCACTCTCTGGAGAGGGTGACACATCCTTAGCGTTTCCAAGTAATGCCCAGTGAGAAAAAAAACATTGGTTTTGTCTAGGGAAAAGAAAAGGGGCTGTTCTCAGCAAAAAGGAAAAGGCACAAACCCGTTCCTTGCAAAGTCAAAAAGAGGTTTTTCCTGTTTCATTCAGGCTGCAAATGAGTGCAGGAGTCACATTGTGGTTAATCCCCACCACACTAGGAGAAGTCATTAGCAAGTTGAGCCTGATCCTG